CCCTGGGTCTGGTGGTTTTAGTCAGGATGCTAACGCCTGCCAGACGGCAGCAGACAGAACAGTTTGTGGCTGGGGTGATGGGGGTCTTTTATAATCCTGAGGGCTTTCTTCCTGAGGCGCTGGGAGTAAAGGTCCTCCATGGATGGCAGCTCCATCCTGGTGATGTTCTGTGCAGTTTTCACCACCCTCTGTAAAGCCTTACGATTGAGGGTGGTGCAGCTGCCGTACCAGGCCGTGATGCAGCCAGTCAGGATACTCTCTATGGTGCACCTGTAGAAGTTGCAGAGTATCCTGGAGTCCATGTTGAACCTCCGTCCATGTCAGGTCCTCAGTGATGTGGACACCGAGGAACCTGAAGCTGCTGACTCTCTCCACCGTAGTCCCATTGATGGCGATGGGGGCGTGTCCCTCTCCCTGCTGCTTCCTGTAATCCACAATCAGCTCCTTGGTTTTGCTGACGTTGAGATGGAGGTTGTTATCCTGGCACCAAGATGTCAGGTTTTCGACCTCCTCTCTGTACGCCGTCTCGTCGCCGTCGGTGATCTGGCCGATGACGGTCGTGTCGTCAGCAAACTTCACGATGGTGTTGGAGCTGTGTGTGGCCACGCAGTCGTGAGTGAACAGGGAGTAGAGGAGAGGGCTGAGCATGCAGCCTTGAGGGGCTCCGGTGTTGAGGATCAGGGTGGAGGATTTGATGTTTCCCACCCGCACTGCCTGGGGTCTGCCCGTCAGGAAGTTCAGGATCCAGTCACAGAGGGCGCTGTTGAGCCCGAGGTCTCTGAGCTTGATGACCAGCTTGGAGGGCACAATAGGTGCGTTCACACCGGAGTACTTTGGTGTACTTTTCCCACAATAGTTCATCAGAACTACGATATATTTGCGTTCACACCAAAAAGCCCCAGGAACTAAAGTAGCTCAACTTAGTTCTTCAGACCCGCTTTTCAGGCCCTGCTAGAGAGCAGGGACTGTTGTGGGAGAAAGTAGTTCGTACGTCTGATTGGCTGTGTGGAATGCAAACCACGCCCGTTTGACTCTGAATATTTTTTTGGAAGCGGCCATTGTATTTCCTCGCTTCGGCAGAAGCTTCTACTGAATGCAGTTTCCGTCGCTCAGCAAAGTTAGCAGACCTGGCAAAGTCATGTCGGGACGACTACGAAGGTAAAATAAAATACATGCACTGCACTGTTTTAATCTGCACAATACTGGTCTTAGATGTACTTTTATTTGCTCAGTAGATCGAGCTAGCCATGCTAGAACTTGCTAACGTTAGGTTTAAGCTGGCTAACAACAGCCATGCCCGCTATGAACACGTTTTGACTTGTGAATAAGTGTGCAATGTTCTGTAATTTGCTTCACTAACTCATGGCACTAATCGTGTGTTTCAGGCGAGGTGTTTCTCTCAGGATTAGAAACTAGTTTTCCCCTCCGGGATAAAACGATAATATAACGTTAGCAATTAGCATGCTAGCTGGACATAATGCTACCTCTGTGGCTAATGCATAGAGGTAAACAATAGATTGTAGTTGCTATAATTTCAAGTAATTTGCAACATTCATTCTATATGTTAATGGTAAAAGCTTAAACAGTTGATTACCTGCATGCCACAAAGACTGATGTTCTAATATTTTTGCACATTTAAGTAGAAATGTAATTGAAATTCTATTTATTTTTTCCTTTTTTTTATTGATTGTTATAATTGTACTCAGCCATGTTATGTTAGATGTCAATCCACTTACACTGTAACTACTCTGGCCTTGAAAGAAGGTTACACATCTAACTGATGTCCACTAATCCCTATAAAACAAAGTTCAAGCATACATTAAGCACAAAACAATAAATAAGGGCACTTTGATATTTATTTTTTATTTGATATTATTTGATCCTATCTTATACTTTACACCTGCATTTTGTACAGGCGATGGACCGCCGTGCCATGGTCAGCAAGGAGAATGAGGACCTGCGTGCCAAGGAGATGCACGACGAACGGCTGCTGCATTCACACAAGGCCCAGGAATCGAGGTGGAGCAACAAAATACCTTTCAGGCTGGGCTTCTGGCAGTGCTAAGCGAGCTGATGAAATCCAACAGGCCTTCAATACAAAAATTAAGAAAAACTTGTCGTCGTTGATAAACTGTACAATGACTTGTTGGGAGGCGTGTGGTGCAGTGGTCTGGTGCGTTGGTGTTCGGATCAGGGGAGCACAGGTTCAAACCCCACTGCAGTCAGGATGTCGTTGTGTCCCTGGGCAAGACACTTCACCCCAAATTGCCTACACCTGGGACAGTTCATTTTGTATTATTGTGATTATATATATATGCCACTTTTATTAATACTGACACCTAATTTTGCACTAAGGTGTGTCTGCTGCTGAGCCTACCTATTATTATATATATATATATATATATATATATATATTGCCACTGTTATTATATTGTTTTGATACTACTGACACTTATTGATCTGCTGCTGATAAATAAAAGAGAACCTACATGCACGGCACTAGCATCATGACTGTCTTTGTTCAAACCAGCAGCAGTGCAGCGGTACACAGACTAACCTGTGTGTGTGTAACGTAGTTCTTCAGATGTGTATGCTTAACATGTATGTATTTATCACAGTAAAGATGGTATACAAAAGCTTTTTAAAGAGCTTTCAACCTCATCCCATTGTCTTTAACACACATTTAACATAATATACTCATATTAATATATATTATATATATATCCAAATATACAGTATGAGTACTGTTTTGATACTGACATTTCATCTTTGCACTAAGATGTGTCTGCACTATTGTAATTGTGTCTGTTGACTGTGGTAAATAAAAGAGAGAACCAAATGCACTGTACAAAAGATGAGCTTTATTGTCAATTTACAATTTCCATGCTGTTCAGATGCCTCAAGGGCTGTGCGCGTGTCTTGCCCGGTGGCGATTTGTTTAGGTTGCGTCTCCCCAATGTTGCTTCCAGGCGAATACAGAGGAGTTGAAAAGATCCACTTTGATCCACTGCACATTGGTGTGCACCAGGCCGAGGTTCTATTGTTCACCCAGAGAGAGCGCGGGACACGACGCGTTCCGTAGTATTCGCATATCTGGAATACATACAAAGACACAAATTAGCCCTACATAACTCCATAAATCCTACATTAGATAGTATTAATGTGATTTAATGAACGTACCATTGCTGTTCTTTGGGCGTGATAACGGCCATCATCCTCAGCTATCCAACGGCGAAACATGTCCATTGCGTGTGCTTTTCGTGGTCCAATCCTTTTGTTAAGGCTTCTTAACCGCCTTCGCCTCCGACTCAGCATTTCTATTGCATTTGAATGGTCGATCTGTATTTGTATTTGTGGCTGAGTTATTGGCTTAAATAACTCCGTTACGAAGCTGTATAACACGACCACCAAAACGTCAACTCCATACCGTGTCTGAGGTCGGAAGGTAAACAGAAGCATACAGCGGAAGCGGAAGTTTTTCTTCTTCTTCTCTCGGTTTTTTGGCGAATTGCAACTTTAAGGTGCATACCGCCACCTACTGTACTCGCCGTGAAGTTGTTTGCGGCCTGCCAGTAAACCCAACGCAGAAGAAGAATAAGTGACGTCAGCGGCTCATTTGCCTAATCCACCCCCAGGAACTCATTTTGGTGTGAACGCGATATGCTTTAGTTCATCAGAACTAAAAGAACTCTCATGAACTAAAGTTCTCATGAACTACTGTGGGAAAAGTACTTGGTGTGAACGCGCCTATTGGTGTTGAATGCTGAACTGTAATCAATGAATAGCATTCTCACATAGGTGTGTTCCTCTGGTCCAGGTGTGAGAGGGCAGTGTGGAGGGTGAGGGCTATGGCGTCGTCTGTGGACCTGTTTGCTCTGTAGGCAAACTGCAGGGGGTCCAGAGAGTCAGGGAGGGAGGAGGTGATGAATGATTTGACTAACCGCTCAAAGCACTTCATTATGATGGAGGTGAGTGCTACTGGGCGGTAGTCGTTCAGGCTGGGGATTTTTGTCTTTTTGGGGACAGGAACGATGGTGGATTGTTTAAAACATGTGGGGACTACAGACTGCAGCAGGGACCTGTTGAACACCTCTGCCAGCTGAACTGCACACACCCTGAGAACACGGCCAGGGATGCCATCAGGTCCAGGAGCCTTGTGTGGGTTAACCCTTTTAAAGGATTTGCACACATCTGCCCTGTTTAAAACAAAAGGGCAGGGCTCCTGGTCCTTCTGTGCCTCCACAGCCTGGCTGCTCTCAAATCGTGCAAAAAAACTGCTCATCTGGGAGAGATGCGCACGTCAGTCTTTCTTACCAGTCCTGGTCACATGACATCCTCTCCCACCCACACACCTGTAACCTCTCTCCTCGTTAGCCCTGCAGTCACACCTCTACTCTCTCAGCTGTTTCCAATGTCCCTAATTATCCATTCCCAAACACTCCTTGCCAGTGTGACAAAGTTGCATGTGCTTCTTGCCATTTGCAAACCTTTAACAATGCCTCTGAATTGTGTTACCTGCTTGTTTCTTCTTTAGTCACCTGAACATTGTTGCCCCATGTTGGATTTATTTGCCTTTATGGATTCTCTTCCCTGTTTGAAACCTTCATGATTCATGTATCTGCCAGTAAGCCTAGTATTTCACTTTGGAAATATATCTGAAATAGTTGGTTCATATACTCTGCACACACCAGCCACACAAGTTAAATTAAGGTTTATTATTATTTCTTCTGACAAGATCTAAATACATAATACAAGTCTAAATGGAGAGTATTAAATAGAACATTCAGAAAGATTGTCAGTGTTTAGAGTTAGGTACCAGTAAGATATCGTAAGAAATAATGTCTTTATTTGCCCCTTGAGAAACCTCTGCTATGTAAGGCTTACTCAACCATATGAGAGAACTTTTGAGGGGAAACTCCACTCATCTTCTCATCTCAGTCACACCCACGTGACCTGATCCAACATGGGGTTTAACTAACTGATCTGTACTCCTTTTATAGGTTACTGATGCTCCAAAGCTGACTGATGATGAGGAGAAGGAAGAGGAGGAGGAGAATGCACAACAAAGGTCACTGGATGCATTTTTTCTATAAGCAGCGGTGTAGTGGTCGTTGGACGCGGGGGGTCGCCGTACCCCCACTTATTTGGAGCCCCCACTTTTTTGAAGCATGATTTTTTTTTTTAATAGTCTAATAAATATAAAATCATTGCCAGTGTTATCAGTTGCAAGTGTGTATTTGTTGTAATAATGACGAAAACATAACCTACATTTCACAGTAATTATAATAAAAACGTAGCTCAAACTTGATTTGAAGTGTGTGTAGGGTGACCAGGTGTACAGCATTTTTATCGCGTCCCACAAATTGAGACTATGTCCCGCATTTGAGTGACAGTCGCGCAGACGGCCGGCACCGCCCTTTAATATTATATGTTTTAAACGGCATCATGTAAGTTGCGCTGACAGGCGACAGAGGTCCAGAGTGTGTTCACGAGCGTGTCCATAGTCTCTCCCCCCCCCGTCCACCCAGTAAACAAATCCCCACTACACCACTGTCTATAAGGTAAGCATGTCATCCGTGCATCACCCTTTGATAATACATTTTGAAATGTCAGCAATGCACCGTGTTCAAGGCCATTCAGCAACGATAATGTGTGCATTAGTTATGCACTTTATTTCATTAAATGTTACGACGGTTGAGATAACCGTCAATTTACTTTATCGAGCACATGTGACAGTTTCACCGTACCTCTGCCAGACAAAGAGAGGTTATGAACTTATTTACTTTTTCTTTCATGACAACATCTTTTATAGGTGGAAAGTGTATCTCAAAACCTCAGCAATTACAAACTACTTCCAAATGTACTGCTGTTTTTGTACAAAAATGCCTTGTTGTGTTAACACCCCTCTACTGTAGCTCAACAAAGAATCACTGAGCAACAATTAAGTTAATTTTAGGTTATTTATTTATATAAAAAGACAACGTTTTTACATTCTCTGTATAACTAATGCACTTACAACTCCAAATCACTCTTTGTGTTTTAATAGAGAAAAAGTAAATATGGAAAATATTGTTTTTACATAATTAATAAAACAATACATTTAAATAAGTACTGTAAATATATGATATAGCATGAAATGAGCCAAGACACTATAACAAATTAACATAAGACTGATATTAGTAATGATGATAATATAATAAAGTGTATCATGATATGTAGCAAATCAAAGGGTTTTGATTAACATGCACTCTGTTGTTAATATTTGATGCAGCTAGTGTGGGGGAAACTTCTGTGGCAATGGAGAGGACTCAGAGACACACGAGGAGAGCTGGAGCTTTGATGGCAAACACTGGTGGTTTATTACGGAGTTACGGCCGGAGAATTGACAAGACAGGTGGTGTGTCACGAGTTGACACAGCGGTTGCCAAACCAATTCTGAAGAACTCTTCTGCAGCTCGAGGTTTTAACTAGTTCGGAGTGTAATAATCAACATTCTTTATCAGTGAGACTAAACACTTATGGACCCTGAATCTAACTAGAGCTCTCGTCCATAGAAAAGAATGTGCGCCAGGGAACCTACGTCCCTGAACAGTATACTACCTCATGGCGGCTTGTGCTCTGTCATAGACTGGCAACAACAATGCGCCCTAGCTGCTCCTCCTTAAGAGAGATAGCAGCAATACCCAAGGCTGTAGACCTATGCCATGGGAAAAGAGACAGTGAGAGGAGAAAATGATGAACTGTGTCAAAGGTTGAATACCTAAGCAAATTATTCCCTAACAGCTAGTATATATATTCAAAAGTATACAGAGGAAACAGTTTTCAGGGATTTTATTAAGTAAATCAACCTAGAACTATAACAAGGATTTTGAAAAGTGAGGGGGACGTGCTCTTTCTCCTCCCTAGTGGAACTCAGGCCCTCATGTCCATATGCTAATAAAACACAGACAATGAACACATGTCAGAGTCAGGGCCCTTGGGTTTAAGCCAATGTAGACAGGCCCATGTATTTAATTCAATATTTCATGTGTGACCATTACCTTTTTAAATAAGAGTAGCGCTGGTGCTCACTAAATGAGGTCCCTGTGGCCATGTGTTTGGAATGAGCAAGGCAATGAGACCAGTGAACAGGAGAGATAACAGGACTCAGCATTTCCAACTCATATTTTATCAACATTTAATAAGAGGTCTGTCTGACCACCAGACCATCCCATAACTAAAAGGTCATGTAGTTAAACCCCTCATTTCTTCCTGGAAAATATATCCTAATAACACTGGGTAGGAATCGCTAAAGAAAAACTGTCAAAGTATCCTCCATAATGTTCTCGAAAAAACGTTAAAGTTAGTGACATGAGAAAAGTTGATCTCTTCCAGATATACTCACTAAAGTCAAATTGTTGTTTTATTTCTATTTGGTGAAAATCATATAAATGCGTCATTACATTTTCCACAACATCTATCATAATCATTTTTGTAATGTTCAAACTGTCTTTTGTAATAACATCATGTTTGCTTTCAAACTATAAAACTATCCTTGCAATTAAACATAATTCAGTCATGTCAGAAAAAAAGTCATTCACAAAAGGGCAAATTAAATGCTGGCCCTAACAAGTACGTTTTGGTAAATGTGCTTTTTTGCTTTTTGCAGTGTTGAATAATTGATTCCACAAATGTAGGTATGCTAAATATGCATTTGGAGCAGAAGCGTATTAGCTTAGCTTAGCATTAAAACTGCTTGCTTGGCCAGATGTAAAAGAAATCTGCCCACAAGCACCTCTAGAATTAACATATTATATGTTGTTAATGGTGGACTTTTACCTTATTTCAACTTCCTTGAATATCCGCTGGTTGCCTGGCATCTTTTCCCAGCTAAGAAAAAAACAAGGAAACGACTCAAAAACTTTGAATTGATGTTTTTTTACTTTGGTTTAGTGCTGAAAATTGCAGATGCCATTGCTTTATTGAGCTGTAGGTATTGAACACGAGACATGTTCAGGCTTATGCTGCATTTCTTGCCAGTAGGAGCTCAGGAAGTGAATGATTTTGGTTCAATCTGATGCTGAGTGCTATGCATCATCTAATGGCTCTTCGACGTGTCCTCAATAATGTAACAGTGCCTCTACCTAAAACACACAGTGTGTTAAGAGCTAACGTTTTTATGCTGCTGGATAAATGTCAGCTGCTCTTTATAGGAAATCAGCTTAGTACCCGGTTAAATGCTCCTCCATCCATCTTCCCTCAGAATGTCATATATTTCTTACTTCTATTTTACTTGATTCTCGTTGTCAGGCCCATCCTTTCCCCTCGGTCTCTCACTTTGTCTCTTATGGAAGAACTCTTTCACCTCCATTTCTTCTCATTCTCCTTTATTTTTCCATCGCTCTCCTCTCTGCCGTAGAGTCAATCTTTTCCTCATGCTGCCTGGTTCTTCCACTTAGCTGCGTTTATGTTTTACCCATTTATTTATCTCAGTGTTTCTCCAGTCTGCGTTTATTCTAGTTCCGCTCCGTATTGATGTTCCTTCTGACAACAGCAGTATTTAGAGCCATTAGATATTAGCTCAGTCAGCTCTGCTGCAGAGTAACTTGTTTCCAGCTTGATTTACAAAACACACTAGTCACACTCGAGCATTCTGCTGTCATGCTGTATATCCTGCATATGATCATGTGCTATCACAGCTAATTCTGCTGTGGTGTGCTGAAAACAGTCCCATGCTTTGCATTTTATATTCTAGCAGAGTTATGGTTGTCGTAGGATTTACTGAATGCACACATTGATCTGATGCAGAATGTTGAACACGCTGACTATCCCTTTTAAAATCACAGCAAAAATCTAGTTTAATCCCATTAGCATTTGTACTCCTATTAAACAAAATACATTACCATCAGATTTATCTGTGTTTTGTTATTAGAGTTATTTAGCAAACATTAAAACTAAAATGGTGAACACAGTAAAAGTTATACATCAGCATTTGTTAGCATTGTGAATAGCGTTAGGCCCATTTATTTTGTATTTATTAAACATTTCTCCAACAAGTAGAAACACACACACACACACACACACACACACACATTTGAAATAGAAAGAGAAAAGTTTCTCACACTACTGAAGGCTGATTTGATAATGTTTGTAGGTGGCCCCTTTAGCCTCCATCATTTGTCTTTGCCATTAGTTACTGTGGTCACATTGATGAGCCATAAGACAGAGGGCAGTTTATACACTGCCCCCCCTCCTCTGAACACAGCTCAGTAACTTATCTCTGTGTTTTAGATGGATGGCTTAAGTTTTTCAAGGTCATGCCTCTTGAAAAGCTCCTCTTTAAAAGCAGAATGACAAAGTGTAATGGATCATTGTGTGTCCTGTTCTGTGTAATCTGTCTTGACTGGCCTTGTACCATCAGATAGCTCCTGTACCCTGCCGTGACCTGGCCTCTGTGTGGTTTATCATCTTATACATCCTTTCCTCTGTGTTCATATATATTAACTTTCAGACTACCAACACAACTTTGTTAACATAACTGCTGCTGTATAGAGCGCAAGACGTCACCCGAGTGCTTCTCAGTTTCTAAAAGTCACAGAAATGGTCAGTTGCAGCACCCTAAATCAAACGTCAAACACTTTGTATGATATATACTGGTGCCTTAAGACTTACCCCTTTATAGTTTCCAATAAATGTGTCACAAGTTTCAGAAATGTTGCGTTTTGTGGATGGACAACAACCCTTGTTTTGTCACAGAACACATTCTTCTCCACTTAAGTTAACACACTGTAGTCTCCATCCTTTTCACTCAGTCAATCATTAGATATTCTTTAAAGAAGACAGCTGTAGGAAATAGGAGAGTGAGGACTTCTGCATGTAAACATCAAATCTGATCTTTTTTATTTCCCTATGTCTATGTGTCAGGATCAAATTACATCCAAACCGGCACACAGGCGAGCAGCTTATTTCCACAAATCTTCCAAACTGGCTATAGAGGCGATTGCTAGTGTTGAATATTTAATGGTAAACAACATCTCCCCTCCACACTTTCCACCTTTCAGCCATTATTGTCAAGCAGGTGCCACCATG